GGTCCCCCCATGGTCCCCTCCCTGCTCCCTATTTACCAGCTCCAAATCCGGCTCTAGCTCCCTGCTGCAGCGGGTGGGGACTGTCCGAATCATGAAAGTTCTCCAAATCTTTTGTGAAGGTTCAGAGAGCTTCAGATCAATTTGGACCTTTTTACTGGTCCCGATTCGATTTCGATTTGGAGATTTGATCACCAAATCGAGCCGAATCTCCTCTGAATCGAATCAACACCCGAAGCTTCACACAGCTCTCCTGTATACTAGACTTGATTTAAGCTGACAAGAGGCCAAGAAGCGATTTGCTAAATATTTTGGATCAACCCTAGCCAGGGAGGTGTTAATTGTCCCTTGGAGGGGAACAGTGACTGTCATCATTAGTCATTTCCTCCTATCAATAATTTCATCTAAATCGTGGTGGGCGAGGTAGGCAAAGGAGAATTCTTCCTTGAGCAGAAATAGAAAAAACACTCCTTTAACCTGGTGAGGGTCCATAAAAAGATAAGAACACTGAGCCCGATGACCTTTACCCTCATGGTGATGCTGACTTGGTGACAACCACCTCTGGGGGGAGTCTGTTCCAGGCTCTTGACGCACAAACCATAAAGTAGTTTTTCCTTATGTCTAATCTGAAGCAAAATTCTAGCAGTTTATGACCATTATTCCTAGTCTTCTCCTGGGGTGCCTTGGCGAACAGATGTTCTCCTAACCCCTGATGTTCTCCCCTTATATACTTAAAGGCTGCCAAGTCCCCCCAAGTCTTCTCTTTTCCAGGCTGAACAGTCCCATGTCCTTCAGCCTCTCCTCATATGGTCCGTTTTCCGGACCTCTAATCATTCATGTGGCTCTCCTCTGGATTCTTTCCAGTATCATGACTCACAAAGCCTCAAGAGATTTTGTCAACATAAATCCCTTCACATTGGTTATTTTTAGGATTTCCTCTTTAAAATTATACAATGGTCATTAAAATAAGTTGCGTGACAGAAATTCTTGAAAATCAAGGAGTTCCCCATAATGAGAGCGTCCAGATGAGTGTGGACGTGTCTCTTGTAGCATTTCAAAGCTCTTTGAGATGCTGCAAAAGACACATGTGGGAAGGAAACAATGTTCCCTGTGCTGCAAATTGGCAGCACGGGGGCAAAATTAGACCCCTGGCTATCCAGGGGTAAAAAAAAACCACATAGGAAAGAAGCAGGGCAGGGCATGGTCCCGGACCATGTCCTGAGGCAAACGGAGGCTGGGTCCTCCACAGAGATGCTCTGGTAGCCAGCCAGAACATTTCTGTGGTTGGCCCGTGCCCTGGTGCTGAAGCATACTGCCTGCTCATGCAGGGCAGGCAGTATGTCAGCAGCAGGGAGCTGGACCTGGGCGCCTGCCATTAAGTAGGGGGCAGCGGGGATGGAAGAGAGGACCATGGGGGAACCCCTGCTGGCCCCGCTCTCTTCCCCCGACCTCCGATCGCTGCCCCACCATCCCGGCACTATTGGATGGGTGGGAAAGCCATTGGGGGGGGGGGGGGGGGGCCTGCAGGAGCCGGCAGGGGATGGGGCCAGACGGGGCAGCAATCCAGGAGAATGAGAGCGCAAGCGGGGGTGGGCCATGTGGCCCCTGTGGAGGGGTGTTGTAACCCCTGTAAGGGGCAGTCAATGAGGTGTGCAGGGGGGCTGCATCCTGTGGGGGGCAAGGAATCCACCCCTCCTGAGCAGCCCCCTCCCCCTGCACAGTCTCTCCACAATCCACCCACACATCTCACGGCCCTCCACATCCCCCCACACCCCTCATCCTCCCAGCACACACCTTGCATGCCCAGCTGCCAGACAGGATGTGAACTGCTGGCAGGAGCTGTGGCTGCAGGGGCAGATGTCTCCACATCCCAATTAGTGAAGGGGTCACAGGGAGCTCTAACTGCTCTATGGTAAGCTGCAGTGGGTAAAGGGTTTAGGGCACTCTCAGGGCTGCTTTAGCAGTCCAGCTGGCACAAGGGGTACCAAAGGCAAGCAGCAAAACCTTTAAAAAAGTCTTCAGAATTCATTTTATTATTATGATAGAGACACTAGAAGGCTTCCAAATTGCTTTAACACTGTAGATATATCAATAAAACATTGCCCAACTGATCACTGTCTCTCACTCTCTCCATCTAGTGGTCTTTTGTTTTAATTGTGGAGAAACATGGATTTCAGGGTATTTTACAGACTGACTTCGGGATTTTTTTTTTTTTAAAAATCAGGAATTTTTCAGTTTTCAAATAGGGAACACCAGAATTCCTGCTAGGGAGGCAAGTGGCAGAACCCAGGCAGAGGAGCCTGCTCAGAGCTGGCACCTTGGACCCAGCTGGAGGTGGCTGACCTCTTGGCTAACTGGGGCCAGGAGGACATGCTTTGACAGTTCAAAGCAGACCACCACATCCAGAACATCTTCCCGGAGATAGCTGCCCAGGTGGCCGGGCAGGGGCACACATGGCAATAGTATGACACAAAGACCAACTCTGCAGCCACAGCCCGCTGGCAGCTGGCCCAAAGGGGCAGATGCCTCTACTGGCTATGCAGTCTCCATCTGGGTCTCGCAGATGCACAGCAAGTCACAGCTAGGTAGCAGCCCCCACTACCAGACTGCTGCAGTGGGTAAAGGGTACAGGGCACTCTCAGGGCTGCTTTAGCATTCCAGCTGGCACAAGGGGTAGCATCCCCAGGTACCAATTGGCTGGGCCCCAGAAGTTCCTGAGAACAAGTAGGCCTGAGCTACTTGCCAGGGCAGCTTTTTGTACTGATGGGGCCAGGAAAGGACAGCTTTTTATACTGCTGGGGACAACACAGGTGCTGGCCCCGGGCTCTAGCTCCCCCTGGCTGCAGATCTAGGAGGAGCCAGGCAGGGTTATTTTGCCCTAAGTGGCACAATTTGCCCCACACCAAAGTGCATGCCTAGGCACGTGTGCTGAGGCAAAAAGCCCCAGCTCAAACTTACACCGCTTCTATCTGAGCTGCTGCAAGTGCACATGCTTGCATGTGTGGACGCACCCAATGGAGAAAATAATAATAAAAAAGAAATCAGAAAAAAAGATCCAAAAGTAGGAGGGGACTTATTTCTCTTGCTACTACAAAATGCAGATTTTAAAACTGTCCAAAAATAATTTTTATTTAAAAGTGATCAGGTTCTCTTCAAAAAATGAAAAGCCTTTTTTTTTTTTTTTTTTTTTTTTAAAGTTTGGGGACAGAAAAGCTCAACCAAAAATATCTCCCTTTCCATCTCCTCCCCCAACCAAAAAAAAGGATTAGACCTTTTAAAAAAGTAGAATTTTTTAATGAAACAGTATGCCAAGTCTTTGATAATGCTATTTTGGCCAAACAGCATCTCATTGTCAAGAATCTTCCATGAAATTATTTTTACCATCTCCACCTGAAACCTTAGGAAAAAAATCATGGATATGGCAATCTTGGGATCCTCTCAGAAGAGGAGAGAGAGAGAGACATCAAAGAGTTTCCAACTAAAGTTTTATTCCTGTGTTAACACTAAGCTTCATGAACGAGAGCTTCAGTCAGTACAGCCCCAAAGGCAGATACAGCCAGTCTACTGTTGGCCTGAGTGAGGTGCACAAGAGATCCTGCACTGTACTAGCATTTACTGATTTAAATACCCAAATATTTGCTTTCTTTCAAACATTTCCCAGAGATTTGGTGGCAAAGTGTTCCTGGATGGTGGCACAGCAGAGGAAAGGGAAAGAGCAGGCCTCATGCTGTTCAGATGCACACTCAGCTTTGCCAGAACCAGAGGTTGGAACTGGTCCTGTAGGCCTTAATCATTCAAAGCCCCTGTGGAAATCTCACAGGAGAATAAGGTCTGCATAGGCACCACTCAGCTACAGAGGACAGCTTATCAAGGGAGAGGTGAGGAACACGACAGAAATGGGAGAAGAGAATTGTTAATTATTTCACAAAGTGCCATAAACATGCAGGATGCTTTACAGGACATGCACATGCAAGGTCCTTCCCAAACACAGCTTACAGTTGAACTCAAAACAACTACTATACTCAGGACAACTGCTGTGGCACAGATTGCTGGGGCTTAAGAAATGAAACAGATCTGGATGGAGAGGGAACCATACAATAGTCTGTGCCCACCGGCCTGGAACAAGTGGGGCACCTGCCCAAGTTCCCAGGATCCACTATCCAGAGCTTCAGCTTCCCATTTCTCAGAAACACCCTGGGAGTGTCTCCCCCTTTGCTACCATCCCATCACAGCTCCATCCTGCTCTGATGTTCTCCTAGGATTACAGAAATGTCACCAGTTGCTTCTCAGTGAGTAAGAGCTCAAAACAGGTTATTTCTCTCTCTCAAAACTTGTGGTCGCAGACACTCCACTCTGGACATGGCTGGTGGAGGAACAGGCAAGTCTGCTATTGGTTCTATTAACACATCACTACAAACCTAGCTCATAATTAAGGGCTGCTAGTGTTTGCCCTAGAAAACTCAAAGACAGCCCACTCATGCAGTCATTTCTTTCACCTCCTCTTTCCTCCTGCAGCCTTGCCATGGTACATGGAATCTAACTGGGGCTCATTGATTGAGTTGTTACCCTGACCCTGAAAAGGCAACTTAGTAAAAGGAGACATGACAGAGGATGAAGCCCTGATTCTTACAAGCATTGTGTCCCTTCCCCTTCAGAATGCCCCTCCAATCCAAGACTGGAAGGGGTCAGGAGAACATGGGAAAAGCCATATCATATTTAACTTCCCAGACATGTCTTGAACAAAGAGAATCCCCAACCTGCAACCAACGTTTGGAATATTTCTTGAAGCAGACACCACTGGAATGTATGGAAACAGGTCTCTGCTTCCCGATCACAGCAAGGAGTCTGGGAATGGGTCAGTTTACTCACCTGGATCTGGCCTTTCCCCATGATCCTGTCAGTGGTCTCTCCATCCTCTTTGGTGAGCTTGGTCTTGTTATAGCATTTTTCATAGCACAGAATCCGCAGGGTCTGCGAGCCCTCCAGCTCAATTTCAAACTCCTTTAGCACATCCAGGAAGCAGAAGAATAGCAATAAGTTAACAAGGACACAATACAGGCACTGTGATGCTTTATTCAGCATCATCAAAACCTGCCTGATGGGACGAGAGATAAAACCTATCTTGCCCAATGGAGTCAGTCTTCAGAGGGGCTGAACAGGACTGTGGTCAATACATGTAGGGGGTACTTTGAATATTGCCTGAAGAGAATGTCTGGTACCCTTGTTCATAGTCTACTCATTGAGAGAAATTGATGGTCCCATATTTCTGGCATTTAATTATGTTCCAATGCATTTAAAACAAACCTGCTACAAAGATCCAGGGTGCCTAAAGCTGAGGGTTTAATAACTATCCCTCCCTTTCCTTCCAAAACACTTCTTATTCAATACATTTCTACAGATGACACTTGTTTTTTTGTTTGTTTTTTTTTAATACCTTATATCTACTCAATTATCATCCATGTAATCATCTGCCTGACAATGCAATATCCCTCTGTGGCTTACAGACTCTCTTCATCAGTGATGCTGCAAGATAAATCACCCACAAATGCAAAGAGCCAAGAGGAAATGACAGGAAGCTTGCACAAAATGCGCTCTCAGATGCGCTGTGCATACTAAGAGTCCAGACTGCGCAGCACAGATTATACACTGAACAGCCTCTTCATTTCTAAATGTTCTGCCCTCAGGGGAATAACCAAGGTCCCACACATCAGACAATTCATACCACGAACACCCCAACCCACCTCGTTCCAATTGGGCTCTGTGGTGTCCCTGTAAACACGGGTCTTAGCTTTGTTCACAAAATACCCGAAGGAATCCACCTCTAATGTGCAGTACAGATCTGGAGGGAAGAAAGAAACAAAACATTTGTTACAAGTACCAGAATCTCTTGCTATCCAAACTGGCTCTTATGTGTTTCTTTACCTAAAGGCCTCTGTCTGCTGATGCTCCTAGCCCTGGCATAACTAACTCATTGCAAACCCAGGTGTGAATGGGCTACATGGGTCAGCTAACCCAAACACCACATTTCACTGTTGGGAGCATCCCCACTGAGGAGTGGCTCCTGGGGTAAGGTGTAAGGATGACAGTAAAAACCTCTTCAGACCCTTCACACATACTCCAAGTGGTTGTCATTCACTGATGCCAGAGAGTCTTCAATTTATCCTTAACTGGTAGAAGCTTCATGTCTTGTGTCAGAAAAGGTCCTCCACGTACAGGAATAAATCCCAGGGGGGGGCGGGGTGAGAGACAGTTACTCAGAGAGAAAGGTACCTGCCCTGCAAGGTATGGTCTCTTCTAACTCTCATTAAAATCCCTGGGAAACTCCCCTGCTGACTTCACTGGAAACTGGACTGTATTCTTCTTAAGTTACTTTAGCTGCTGAGAAAGGGTCTCTCTCCTCACTCTGCTCAGCTTTGCCCAGTCCTTCAGCAAAACCTCAATCTTGTGTTTATTACAATCTCCTGACTACTGTTACTATGATCTTAAAGATTCTGCCTGACACTTTCACTGCAGTGTTAAACAGGCTTGGAAAATGAACAATAAGGGAGCTAAGCAGGCAGGAAATACAGTAGCATCTTAACAGCAAAATGATTAGTTCTTGAGCCCCAGCTATTTGAGTGCCTTAACAGCACAAAAAGCTGCTCAGTATCCTGCCAGATTTGCAGATGCCCCAACTCCTTTCCTACTCACCAGTCTCTCAGGCACTGCAATCCCAGCTTAATCCTGGTCCTGCCACCTCGATACCCAAAATACACCATACAATACAGCTCTACTAGCCAACTCCCTCTGCACCTCCCCAAGTATATCACCTATCTGCAACTCACTCGAACTCTGTTTGAATCCTGTGGCAGAATGGACGATCACGTTCAGGAATCCATAGAGCCCGGGGGATTCATCATCTGTGCAAAAAGAGTTTGGTTACAGCTTAAAGGAAGGCCTGGAAATGAGACTTTCATCACTGAGATTTATGGGTGCATGGCAAAGCATCTATAAATGGGTCCCAGGCAGGGGAGAGTGAGGCAATGTTTTAATAAGGAGTTATAATTCATGTCATGCACTGCTTCTGCCCCAGGGCACTCCTGACAAATTGGACAGTTGTACAATCATACTTTACCATGTTTAAGTATGTTTTTCTTTCCCATGTTGCTGTGTGAAAAGCAGGAAATTGACTGACTACAGGGAACACCATATACAGAGAACTACCAAACTCACAAATGGAACCAAACCCTAATGGACCACTGTAGGCTTCTACCCTGAGAACAGGGTCTGCTTGTGTCCAGTACTTCCAGAGTATGAGATGGTCCTTGTTCCCTGGTGCTCAAGATATAAAAAGGCAAAAATCAGACAAGGGCTGGAAGGGAGACAGGCCCTAGGCAATAAAGGGGTTGCCCAGAGTCACACCACGACAGTGGCAAGGCTGGGAGTGAGGTTGGTCTCTTTAGATTTCTCTTATGTCTGTAACCTTTCAGCAATGCTGAGCTTAACTGTTACTCTCAACAACCCTGGGTAAAACGTCTCAGACAGGAGGGTGATTCCTGAGTTGTTGGCACCCCTTGTAGCTTCAGTCAGGCATTGTGAGGAACCACTGACTGTGCACAGAGGCACTTTGCACAAATTACATCTGGCCTCAAATTTACAAACCTAATGCTGCACAGGTTTCTCCGCAATCTTCTTACAGCAACCAGCGCAGGGGCTTCCAAGCATGCGACTGGCCCCCCAGAGATTGGTTTCAGTTGATATTTTTACCACTCAGGCAGCAGCAATGCCAGTTATTGCAATAGAAATTCCAGTCAGGTGCACAGGCCAAACATTTCAATCAGCATAAAAGCAATTTCCTGTTAATGCCTCCAGCCAACAAGCAGAGAGAGAGCAAAGCAGAACAGACTGTACCTCCCTTACCCTGTCATTTGGAAATCCCCTGGCCTACCTTCTCTGCAGGGAGGACACCAGAGCTTACACCTTTTTCTCAGATCCAAATTGATCATCTTAAAATTGCCAGTTTAAAAAAAAAACAAAACAAAACACACACACAGGAGCAACTCTCATGGCTACATCTTCTGCTAGGAAAGCAGTAGGCTGGTCCTAGGACAGTTCCCAAATTCAGGGTTGCAACCTCAAATGGGCACTTACACAGACATTGAATTAGACTGGAAGTTAGGTTTAGAGCCCCAAAGCAAGATCGCAGTCTAGAAAACCAGAACTGCTGCTATAGAAAGGAGAAGTGTGGCTGATCTGGCCAGGGGATGAATGATGTAAGGAGGAAAAGGGAAGAGGACTGAGTGCATAAGAGTAATGGGAAAAATGAAAGAATTATCAAAATAAAAAGAAAATTTAACCAGAGCCAGTGGAAGATATGGAGGATAGTGTGAAAACAGGCAGAGGTTCTGCATGCACATGGGGGCAAAACAAGAAGTGCATGCGTTTTTCAGCCTTTATTTATACTGCAGAAATCAGTAATGGTCGGACCTTGGACCACACCCTCCCAGCCCTGCTCCTTTCCTTTCTGCTACCTCTTATCCACTCAAACTACACCATACAAGCTGGGTACACATGGGCTCCAGCCATCGCTCTGCTGGGGCCACCAGTCTCTTGTGGCTCACTCAAAGCCTTTTATTGAAGGAAAAAACTGGAAGAGGATAAGGGAAATATAAGAGGGCAGGCAGGACCTTGTTGTTTTTAACAGCAGCTGTTGACAACCACTCACCTTCTTTATTGATGGTAAGGGGAATGTTGTGGACAGTCTGAAGCTTGACACATGAGTTGGTCAACATCTGGAGCTCCACTGATGTGAGCGAGAAGCTTTTAAAGCCTGCCAAGGAAATTCAGAGAGGCAATGGCATCAGCACAGGAAATGGCTTCTCAGGCACTGCCTGGTGACAATACAACAGAACATGCATGTACCTAAAGGGAACCATAGATGAAGCCCTGACTTCCTATCAATACCTCTAGAAGCCTGCTGCACATCTGCAGTACCTCACTGATTTAATGTTCAGAGGATTAAAGTCTCTGGGCACCACAAAAGAAACCAGAGACACTCCTCCTTGCAACCATAACCAACCCCATTCCAAAAAAATGAGTCGCTCCTCTTCAGGTCAGAGACAGAGGGAAGGAATGGGCCTTTTACTGTGCTCCAAAAAGCATACAACTCCAGCTCTGGCTGGCTGATGCCAGAGGTGACTCCACTGCTGAGAGATCTCCTTGGCCCCCAACTCCCAAAGAGTCAGATCTGGGAACTGCAATCAAACCCATCTTCCACTCATCACAGCTGTAGTAAAAGGGCAGAAGGACAGGAAGCAGCCATGCTGGCCTCGCAGGTCCTCTGGGATAGGAAGCCAGCCTCACCTAACTCCCTGGGATTCAGATAGCCATGGACAACCCTTATCCTTCCCCCAGCACAGGAAGAGCACAAATGCTGCAGCTACTCAGCCAGACAGTCTCTGTGACTCCTTGAGACAGGGGCTCCAGCTGGCAGAGGGACACTTACATTTCTTCTGCTGTTCCCGGATGTTTTCTCTCCACTCAGCACGTTCATAGTCTGATGAGATGAGGAACGTGTAACTCTGTGGAGAGAGTGTCAGGGAAATGGGGAGCACATCAGGTTGACTTGCCCAGAGCAGGTCCACCACCCACCAGGCAAAGTCACATCTCACTGGTGCTCCTCACATCATTGATCTGTTAGTATCCACTGAAATCACAGCATTGTCCTCTCCCTCCACTGTGTAACACCACAACCAGTCAGGGGTACTTCAGTCCAAGCTATCACAAAGCACTGCCCTGCAAATGGCAGGTGAGACTTGGGCTGCTGTAATAGCTGGGTGCTCCCCGCAACACCTCCTGGCTGTGCTCCAGTGCAGGGGTGGGCTGACACTGGTCTAGGAGGACAGACATCAAAGATGCCTATGGTCCAAACATCAGCAAGCTGGCTCTTGTAATGATCCAACGACAAGTGCATGTGGATGCAATGTCACCCACCAACAGCAACACAGGCCTCTCCCATTTGCTACAGGAGACTCTCCATGATTGTTTAACAGCAGTAGTGCCAAAGCAGGTGGCTGTAATGGAACTGAAACAAGGGGAGCCCCAGGTGAAGGAACACAGGCACTTCCGCTCTGTCAGGGGAGGGGATGAGGCACGGGGTTCTGATTATGTTTGTGCAACGCAGACTGTCCAACTTAGCTGGTGTCCCCAGGCTGCTCCTCTGTGCCTGCTGCCAGCCATTAGTGTGCAGGACAACACTCAAGCCGATTTAATTTCTTTGTACAGAGAACAGCATCACAAAGAGGAAGTTACAAGCCTGCTTACACCACATCCACCACCCTGTACATGAGGCCTGGGCAAAGTGCATGGAGCTACTTACCTTGCCATTGCGGTTGTGCACCCGGAAAGCCATGTTGGGGGACATCAGCAGCAGCAGAGACTCCTGCTCAGAGAGCTTCTTTTTCAACCTCTCAATGACTTTGCTGCCCTTATTCGCCTTCTGGAGAAAAGAAAGAGACAACATGAAGGTCACGCTCCAGCACCAACACAGAGAATAAGACTAGGCTCAGCTTTTAGATGGATTTGCCCCTGCCCTCTGAGGGGGCACAGCCTTATCCCAGGCAACAGAGGGCCTGCCAGCAGGGCAGGTAGGGCCCCACCCCACTCAGGGAAGTGGGAATTATAAGTTCAGGCAATAAATGTACTTCATGCTCTAGCCCCGAGTCCCACTTGCAGATAATGTGAACAGCCCTTGCAGACCAAGGCACTCTGCAGGGGAAGCCATTCACCAACCCAGGCAGAACAATGTATGCTCCAGTCCAGAGTGGCTGCAGCTGCCACAGCACAGCACAAAGTGTACTTTCAAGAGCATCTTTACTTAGGGAGCACACAGATAAAACAGCATCCCGGAGCCAGCATTCTATGTAGAGACAGCAGCCTGTGGTCCTTTCCCCATCCCTGTGAACCTGTTTTCTGCAGTCACCCACCACCAAGTTTTTCCTTGGACAAACCCTAGATCCTAGAATTCAGCTATGGCATTGTTTGACCCTCTTGCATCTCGAGACACCTGTAAACTGTGACTTAGCAGTTGAGTTAGCAAAAATACTTTTCCCCACAGGTGATTTCATAGCACACCATTCTTCCTAGGTAACCCTCAGAGAGCTAGCAGGGACCATGGGGTTGAAATCCCCTTTGTAACTAGGGGCAAAAGGTGCAAGTGAAGGTCCGTGCACTTTGCTGGTCACTGGGCAGGGTCTCAGCAGTTGCATCTTGGCTGTTCTCACAATAGGCTGACTTGGATTCTACCATCTTTGAGAAAATCCAGACCTAGCAAGTGAGGAAAGGCCAAAGTTTAGAAACACAGAGGCCCATAGTGGACTGTGGGCAGCTAAAACATTCAGTTAATTTCTCTGGACACCTCCTCCTGCTCTGGGATCAGCTAGGTCCCAAGTACACCTTAAAAGCTGGTATGGATGTAGCAAAAATTCTTCTCTGTTTACAACCAAAACCGTAAGAACCACACAATGCTCCTCTCAGTTCATGCTTCCAGCTAGAGCATAGCCAAAATCTAACACCAGCACAGGACATGGAGATGAGAGGCAAAGAGTTAACCTACAGCTGCTGTGTGGAGATACTGAACCTTTGTCATTCCTATGTGCTTACAGGACACCAGCACTCAGGGTTCAGCATATAAACCCTGAGTTTGGCCTCATAACAGCCGACCGCATATCAGGTACACATGTAACTAGTACTTTAGTTGTCCTGGGGGCCTCATCCAAGTAGCATGGCTTAGCAGGACTACTGGGCAACCACACTCATTCACCCCAGGGCACTGCCCTGTCTCCCACTTGAGATGCAGTACATGCTCTGTGCTGGAGAAAAAGTTCTGCTGCTCACCAGTACCTTTTCCCGCTGGATGTCATTCTTGATCTGGGATATCTTGATCTTCATGGCGTCCAGCTCCTCGTCAGGCACGAGCGGGATGTTAGGCACAGCCTCGGCCTCATCCACTGTCTGGAAGCTGAGGTCTGTGAGCGGAATGTACCATTTACAATCATACTGCTGGCTTTTCCTGGAAGGGAGAGGGGACACAACTTTAAGACATTTATGCTCCCTCAGATCCTGGCTTGTTCCCCTTAGTTCAGCTCTGCAGGTCATAGGGTGGTGTCAACAGCTGTAGCTCATTCTGATCCCTACCATGGAAGCACAGTGTAGCTGGGGCTGCTCCTCAGTAACAGAGCTTGGAAAGAGCCATTCCCATTTCAATGCAATGATCAGCATGGTGCCCTCCAATACTGCAAGCCTGCTGCCTCTGGTCCTGGAGGATAGCGATGTTTTTTTCTGAACACTGAGATCTCTTTAAACAACCCCTCCTCAGAGGCAGAACTGGCAGCTTTCTATGTGACAGCTGATGATACAATGCTATACCACTGGGTGACGCATTGGCTTGAGGGAAATGAACCCAGGATCTCTGGATCAATGAAACTGTAAGCCTCTACTGAGCAGGGCAGAAAACCCAACCCTGCTGGCTCAAAGGCTGAGGCAGACTCAGAAAGGACTATGTGGTCTAGCCACCAAAAGGGAGATAGAGGCCACCACTATGTAAGGGCATCATGCAACTAAAAGTGAAGTACTATGGCAAGGGGTATTATGAGAGAAAAAATTAAAGGAGCCTAATGGCATTTGGCCCACACTCCAAGGTCAACAAGCCCACTTGTTAGCAGGCTGCAGAGTGTTCAACTCCTCATGTGACAGGGCCTGTCTTGGAGGGTAGCTTTATGCTGCTGCAGGCACTATCTGGCTGCTCCTTGTACATGTGGCATCCTTGTTCAGTTTGTTCACACAAACCCAGCTTGCTCTCGCTGGACCAGGTTTCTGTCCTGCCCAGCACTTGGCTGACTGTAGGGTGCCAAGCACAGGGCCCAGCATGGGACATCTCACCCTCCAATCTGCTTCTTGAGCTTGGCACACAGGAACAGGTCAGTGAAAAGAAAGACGTGGCGCAGCTTCCGAGCTCCCTCAACCAGCTCCACCATGAAACTGTCCTTCAGGAGCTGCCGGTGCTGTGGATAAGGAAGAGATGGTGCTAGTTAGGGCAGCAAGGGGCCCCAAGCCATCACATGTCACTCCCCGCAAGACAATCGCTGCCCATCCCAGTGCTCTGCCTCCAGGACCTGGGGTCCATTGCTTTAGGCATTTAATTGATTAGCCTGCTTGCCTACTTCTTTCCCCCATCCACACTCTTAATGGGGGCATTATAATCTGAGGCGAAGGGGGCTCTCTGGATTCCTCAGACCCCAACAACTATAAAATGTGCTTTGCACAAACACACTGTGACCTGTGACTGAGCTAGAACCATCCTCACTGGGACTATTCCCATCCATCGAGTAACTTGTTTGCTGACATGCAGTGCACAGTCTGAGAAAGTGGCCAAGTGTCAGCTTTTAACCAGGATCAAATCTCTACCCCCCAGTCAGGGAGATGCCAGGCAGTTTGGAGCAAGGAGAAGAGAGCTACAGACTCTCAGTTGCCTACAACCTGCTGCCAACTCTGGAAGGCTCAGCCAGAACCTCCATGCAAGGCTCCCCTTTCCAGCCACTCCCGAACTTATGAATTTTCCTTTGGGGGTGAAACCTCACCTGCCTGATCTCTGACCACAGGAAACCTCCCTGGAAACATTCAATACAATCTTTCAGCTGGCAAGTCGCTGCCAGGCCACTGGTGCACATACACATAGGGCTTGCCAGCCTCTATAATTTCTGTTACTCCACCATTCATCAGGAGAGGGCAGCAGACACCACCTCTCCATTAAGTTATTGCTGCTGCCCCCATAGGCTACTACCCAGTCCAGGCCAAGATCAAGCTATGCTGTGCGGAGTAAAGGGGAACCCACATATCCCTTCCTCACCTGCCCCTAAACACATACCAGGCTAAACCTCCAACCTTCTAAACAGTGCAAAGAGTCCTGCTGCTTCCCTACTACCACAAGCGCTGCTGAGGGACCATGACCCACTCACACAAGGTATATCTGGCAAATTCACCAGTGTTCCCAAATCAGCCTGTGTTTAAACAGAACCATCTGGATATGTTTTTCCCTTGCATCTGTTTAAAGCCTTTTTATATTCCCTATAAAATTCCTCCAAAGCACAAGACATGAGAGACAGCTATAGTGACAGGATGGAGTGGCACCACCCTGCTCCTTTCAGAAGTGAGGCTCCTAGTTTCCAGGGTCTCAGGGAGTTTCTCAGGCTAATTGGGCATTTTTACATGTGCTCTGGGAGGCATGGGGGGACGCTTTAATTAGCAAGCCATGCTAATTAAAAGTGCTCAACTGTCACATGTATCAGTGTACCTGCAGTGAAAAAATGGTGGTGGGGTGCTTTAAACTAATGCTTGTTCGATGAGCTATAGTTCAAAGCGCCTCGCTGCCATTTTTCAGTGCAGGGACACCGATACACAAGACACTAGAGTCTGATGGAGCGCGTTAATTTCCACACTCCATTAATTCGAGTTAATTAAATCGAGTCTGTTCCGACGTGCTGGATTTCTGTCTGCTCTGATGCACTGTATAGGAGCCCACTGGTTCACATCAGGGAGTGATAGCATCCCCCAGGTCTCTGCTTTGTTAAAGTAAATACTGGAGTATTATTCAAACCAAGCCAGACAGCACATGTTCTTATCAACAAGCCTGAAAAGGTTCCCAGCCCAGTCTCTACTCAGACCTTCCCAAGACAGCCTGAGGGTGAGGCTGGGAAAGGTGAAATCTTGTTACTTTCAAAACAGAGTTTGGGGGGTTTCAATTTGGGGATAAGCTTGATGCTCACAAAAGAGAAACGCTTCTAGCTACCCAGACCCAGGCACTGAGCAGGTGCATGTCCTGCTAGCTTCCCCACGCAGCTCTGCCAACACACATTCATCCCAGCCTGCCACACGGGTGCCCACTTCCACCTAGATACTGAAGAAACTGGGTGCTTTGCTCATATATTATGGCATGATATTATGACATGACAGCTTTATTCTAGCTTTACCCACAACAAGCCTCCAATCCCACACCCAGGGCTCTACCTCATTTCCCCCCCCATCTCTGATACCCAGTACCAGGACTCTTACATGCAGAATCTGCCAATTTTCAGAAGGCAGCAGTAGTCAGCTTTGTGATGCTTCTGACTGGGAAAAAATGGAGTCTGGAAGGGGCTGTGACATCTAGATAGTTACTTGGTGCCAACTTAGAGTTTATGCTACAGTTTCCCAGGGGATGGGCCAAAGTGTTAGCTCACTGCAAAGTTCAACATGCCCACAACACTCTCGTTGCCCAGCACAGGGGTCTTTGCCTGGATCCTCCACACCTGCCTCTCTATATGCTATGATATGGCACCCAGGAGCAGACACAGTGAGGAATACAAGAGCTCGAAGCATCTTAAGCAGCACCTCATCCCCACCTTCATGCTTTGAGCATCAGGAAACCTTCAGTACAGACAAAGATGATGCACCCTCCCAACACCACAGTGGCACTACAACCACTGCTGAGTTCTGGGGAGCAGGAATTAGCATCAGTCCAAGGTCACCTGCCAATCCCAGACCTGACAGCCATGCTACCCATGCTACAGTCACTAGCCAGGAATGCCCCACCCTTCCCTGGTGAACCTGCCCCCTGCTAGCCAACTGCACTCTCTCAGGGCAGGATGCTGAGGACTATGCTGTCCAACAGTGACTCAGGCTCAGAAAGGCCTATGCCAGTTTGATTTTAGGTGGGAACAAGTCTTTTGGCTTCTCCTCTCCAAACCCATGGAGAATGCAGAACACTTGCCTGCATTGATGTCTCTACTGTTCATGTCTACTCCTTTTCTTCCTGTCACGTCCCCAAGGACTAGTGACCTCCGGCCCTGACAGGGAACTAGAAGTGCTCAGCTATAAACAAAGGATGCATCTAGTCAATGGTAAAAAACCCACTTCCCACAGCTGGGAAAGATTTGATTTGAGAAGGGTAAAGGAAGCTGAGAAGGAGGAAGTTTTCAGCAATCCAGACCTCTAACTTAGATCTGAAGAGTACCAATTATGATGCAAATCAGCTCAGCTCCTTTGGGGTGCAAAGAGCAAACAGCTCTTTGTTGCCAGCCACTCACTCACCATCCTTAGGTGTAAATATGTTCTCATGCTTGGATCACTCTCGTTACACAGCTGCTGTCCTGGGGTGCAACGCACAGTACTGACTGCTTGCTCTTTCCCCACTCCGAAGGGCAAATGGCATCATCCTGTCCTGGGGGAGGCAGCCGAAAGGCTCCTTCTGGCAGAGTTAGGCACGTAAGAACCATGGAGACTCACGACAAAGTCATCAACCCAACAAGGTGCTGGCTGTTTGCTCAGTAGCTAAGAAGGAAGTTCTTTCACAGAGCCACTGGGAACAGGATCAGGCCCATTACTTACAGCTTCTGCCCTGCTGAAGGGAAACCATTTGTCTACACTCCCATCTGAAAACAAAGGGCTGGCTCCAAAGCAGCTCTCATCCAAACAGCTACTCCTTCAAGGCAGGGCCTCTTATGGGGCCATAGACTTCTAGTGCCATGCTGCTGGCCGAGCGCCTCCTTCTGAAGTGCATTCTCTGCCAGGCTAAGGGTGTCTGCCAATGGTCTGATGCTTTGATTCCTTGACACAGGGGAAGGAGGGCACAAGCCCATGTGAACGGTTTGACAATTCACTTGTTCTGCTACAGCCAGGGTAGTCAGTCTTGCCTGGTTCTGCCAATGATCCAATTGCAAGGGTACAAGACTCTCAGAGGAAGGAACATCATCTCTGCAAGCAACAAATACCTGGACCAGGGCTCAAGGCAGAACCTGGCAACACGAGTGGAACAATGATAGGACCTACCTGGCCCCCCCATCAAGAGAAGAGCATGAGGAAGGGGGTGACAGAGCAAAGGCAGTAACTAAGTGAGACTGACATGCTAGTATAAACACTGTCATGTGGCATTAGGGTCACAAGCCCATCTGTAGTCATTCCCCCACCTTCCCCCAGGCCCCAGTCAGAGCAGCCGTTACCCTGTTCACAGTAATCTCAGCAGCAAAAATCACCTGTATAGCTTATGCTTATCTGAGGCAATGCTCATCTGCTCAGGTCGTTATTTTAATCAGCATTCAGAGGAGTCACCCAGATCCACAAGACACGGCATTCTCATCCAGAAAGGGACCCCTTGGGAGGCCTGGCCAAGGATGTATTTTAGTCAAGCATAGGAAGTCATGGTAGAGGCAGAGGGGATGTATTCCAGTCAGCACCTCAAAGAGAAACACTATGCATGTCTACACATTCATTAATGTGCCATAATTATGGTGCATTAAGTTTAATACCTGTAATAACAGGTATTAATTTAATGTGCTGTAACTGGCACTACTTTGCATTAGTGCAGATGAATGCTTTTTGTGTGATGCTTAATGCCCACTGGGCTAATCTACCACGCATTAGTGCACTGGCACGGTTTTTACCATTGTGCTAATGCACAGTAGAATTAGTCCAAAGGGCATTAATCATCACATGTAGACACACCCACTGAGCACCACTGAGGGGGCGCTTCTCTTTAAAAAGCCCTAGCACGTGCATCTGTTTGGAAGATCTCCTGGCACGGGCAGCTCCTGGAGACATCACCTTGCAAGGCCTCATCTGCCTTGCATGAAGCAGGGAGACTGCAGAGGGGATCTGTGGAACAGCTTGCCATCTCTCTCCCCAAAGGAGAGCACTGAGCTTGATCCAGGGGAAGGATTTAACTGCCAGCATCCCCTGGGACAGAAAAAGCATTCTTTAGAGCTGGGTACAGTAGGTGTGCCCCAGGCTGCTTAGCCCTGACTGGACAGTGGGGGAGAATTTCTAGTAGGGAGCTATTAGGGTCATGTTCTCTGCTGTGATGACTTATCTTGTTGGAAGGGTTCAGCAGGTCAAAGGGAAACAATTAAAGGATTTCCCAACCAGCTTACAACCCACCTCTCCCCAGCCTCCAGGAGTGAGTCAGCATGGCCTTCATTCCTCCCCACTCAGTAAGCACTGAAGGCCTTCCTACTGCCTGATCCCACATGCC